GAAAACGAATTCTTTTTAATTATATATTTACTTGAATCTTTACGACTTTAAAAAATATCGATTATTAATTTTAACTTCGTCATATATTATATGATATTAACTCAGTTGATTAATTGTTTAATTTTTTTAATGAGTGTTCGAATTCTATTATAATCTTCTTTTCCAATACAAAATTTAATAATTATATTTTTAGGAAAAAGTAATGAATTGTAGGCATATCAATCTGTATCCATATATGGATAATTTTAGAGAATTAAAATTTTATGTTATGTTTGTACCTAATGTAACAAAAGTGTAAATAAACTCTTCAAGAAAAATGTCTTTCTTCGTAAATATAATAATCTAGATAAATACGATAAATATGAAGGAGAAGGAGGTGGGGAAGGGCGGAGTCGGGGAAGACAATCAACAATGAGATGTTTTTTTATGATTTTTTCTTTCTACTTTCATTAAGAAATTTAAGGTATCGTTAAACTTATTTTTTTAAAAAAATTAATATGAAAGATTGCGAAAGCAACATACCCTTTACATTTTTTAACTCATTATCAAAAGCTACTAAGCAGAATAATAACTCGGAAACTTATTTAAAGGGGGAGTCGCACAATAAAAATAAAAATAAAACTCAATTTTTATTTTTATTTTACATGAGATATTTTAGAGCAATTGTACTGTGGATAAATTTTTACATAAAAGAAATTAAAAAGAGGCCATGTTCTTATGTTATTGGACAGAAAGAAAAAGAAAATAGGGTATCATTTATTTCACAAGAGAAATAATGATTTTTTATTTTTTTTTAAATAAAGTGAGAAAGTGACTGATGAAGACATTTTTTTAAAAAAATTTATTTATTTATTTCTGTTTATCAATACTATATACTTCTCATCACATTCATCATAGTTGTTTTTGGATTCTTGCTTTTGGTTTATTTTGGCAAAAAAAAAAAAACTAAACATTATAATTTCCTTACAAAAAAATAAAATTTGTGACACTTTTAGAAATTCTTAAATTCTAAATCAAATGGCAAACCTCAACATACATTGTTCAAATCGTTGATTTATTTTATGGTATAATACTAATTTCTAAAGTAATTTTTGCGTACCTCAATAATTTCACATGATATCTGTTATTCCGAACATTTTGTTTACCAAAGATTAAATTGGTAGAAAAAGATCACTCAAAGGTCCAAAAATTTTTCTATTTAATTAATCATTAGAAATACTGATGTAAGTTGGTCTAATAATTAATTAGTAGTGTAAAATCAAGCATTGAATCTTAATTTAGTGTCTTTGAAAAAAGATATAAACATCCAAAAAAAAAAATCACCTGAAATTATTGCAAATAACAATTTGGTAAACCTAAAGACATCTGAAAATTTTTCTCTCCAAAAGTTATAATTAATGAAAGAATTATTTGACTTATCAAATATTAATACCATCATATAAAATAAGATACTAATATTTCTAAATTGACCTTTTCTTTTTCATTCAAGGTTCATGTTACACTCTTTTGAAAAACAACACAAAAATAAATAAAATTTAAGGTAATGATATTCCTTTTTTTTTTTATAGCCTATAGGCATGACTTTGTCCATGATCACTTGAAAAGGACCCTTATGAATGTTACTTGTGAAAATTTCGACTTAATAACTTGTATGATCACTTAATTAATATTATTTCTTTAAAAAAATTATTTTCTTCTTAATATCGATAGATTAATAGAGAATTTTTTTTCTTTGAATTGTTAATCGAATAATTATCTGAAAAAATTGAAAAGTAAAGAACATAGTAAAATTAAAGTGATATGTCAAATAGAATTGTCATCAAAATTGATGGTACTACACTAGTGTAGCAGGTGACGATAGGCTTTCAAGTCACATCAAAAATTAATTTTTTTATTTTATTTTATTGTTATAAAAATAAAATAGTATAATACAAAAAAAAAGCAAGTGAAGGGTCCCACTTTGAAATTATTAAACTTGATAGTTTTGTGGCCATGGTTGTGACTTGTGCACAAAAAAAATAATAACTTAGTGGTTGGTTATGAATCATTTGCCCATTCAACCTAATTCAATTATTATTATTATTTTCAGTAAAAAAAAATAAAATAAAGAGAGAGAAAATAATTATATTATTGTATATCATTCAGGAATATACTTCCAATTGGCTAACTTCTTAAATACACTCAATGTTACCTTGTCTTATACAAACCATATACATTTTACCACTATACTTTACATGTGAAAAAATAAAAAAATAAAAAAATAATGAAGTATAAGTCCATAGATAAATATCTTGACCTATTGAGATCTCAATTTTAGTTTCTATGTTTTCAAATGAAGTATAACGACGCATAACCATGTAGTGCAGCGAATGAAGTTGCTTCCTTAATTAGAAGTTTCGAGTTTGAGTTTTGGATATGATAGAATCTCTCCTCCAAATAGAGCCATGCGCAATAAGAATTCAATTAACTTAAAATAAAAAAAATAACTATACACGGTATAATTTCACAAGTGAATCGGGAGAATATAGAAAGATGTAAATCATATTTTTCTTTTTCTGAATTTATTAATCGGGAGAATATAGAAAGATGTAAATCATATTTTTCTTTTTCTGAATTTATTAATGTCCAATATTTATTTTGATGAATGCATTGATTTGAGAGTAAGATTTACTAAAGTGAAAAATGCTCCCTGTTTATATTGTTTTTAATGTTCTCAAGACTTAAACCAAAGATAACTAATTAAGATTGGAGGAATCTTATCTAACTTATAAGAATTCGAATCTTGTTAGGTACGAAATCAATTTTATTAAAAGCGCGTTAATTTTAATATAAAATTTTCTCGTACGAATTTAAATTTAGTCAAACTTTCTTACAAAAAAATCTAATCATTTAAAATCGAACTCTTCCATAATAACTAGAATGACTTTCAACGCAATAATAAAAAATAATAGACAACTAATAAATAGGATAATGACAACTCATTTAAAATTAAATGTCATCAATTTTTTTTAAGACATTTCAATTTCTGGGACAATTTTTAAACTATTCTAAAAGAACAAATCTGAACCTAGTATCTCAGATCTCTTATTCCTTTGTTCCACACTTTATCACCCTTTTTTTTAAAAAAAAATAAATAAAATAAATCAATACATCATCCTAAAAACATAAAATTATCAAAACTCAATCTAGCTTAATATATAAAATAATAAACATATTCAATGTAATTCTGTAAAAGAGATTCAAAAAAAAATTATATACTGCTTAACAATTTTCAATAGATCTTCGACTCATGAAGTTGTCTCAGTATATAATTGGGCAAGAAATAAAATAAACTAAATATAAAAAAGGAAAATCCTACGAATGATTGTTTTTCCTGTATCTACATCTTGCCAGCTATTTTTTTGTTATTTTATATTTATTAAAATGCAATTTACCTGTCAATAAATGGTCCTTTTATTTTGGAGTCTTTATCATATTCTATGTTTGTTTCAATTATATGCATAATTATTGATCGTAGTAGCTTTGGAAGCATTTATTGTCAAATAAATACCTAGACACTATTAAAGAAGCTTGAATTATTAGATAAACCTCATACATGCCCCCACTTTATATTAATTAATAAGCAATAAGATGATAAACTATACTTTCTAATAAATCGACTAATAGTTCATGAAAAGTACTGAAATATTTGCGTTATTAAGATATATATATTTCAGTCTGAGCATCGAGATGGTTACGTTAGCTTTTTTCAATTTTGAAAATAACATCTAAATTATCATACTTTTCACCTGACAAATATATGTTATCTTTTAGTAACACATAAACTCGAGATCGAATAATGCATGTTATCTATCAAATAACTCGAGTCGGTAATAATAATCCGAAGCCCAGCTAACGATCCAAGGGGAATCACTTGACATTTCTTATTCGAGCTAGCTTGAGCTAAGGAAATTTATTCGAAGCCCCTTCGTTGAATAATTATACTATATATTCAAAGTTTTTTTTTTATGTATATATTAAATGTTGATTCCCCCGATTTAATTTTATGAAATAGTGAAAATTCAGACTCTACTACTGCACGTCATCCTGGTAGAAACAAAAGCTTCTTTGTCATAAATATCTATTTTCATATGCACCTTCTTCACGAGAGGCCCAGTATTACATACAGAGATATTTAACCTAATTGTGAGGCTCATAATTTCGCATTGTACTGCTCTTTCTTTTGAAAAATAAAGACAGGCAATATCCTCTCAAATCAGACAATCAGAAAAACAATATGAATAGAGACAAATGTTATTAAATCCAAATCGATAGATAGTGAAAGCAAACCAATGGCAACAAACTTGTAGCAGTTGTAAGAACATAATTCATAATAATCGCGATTATTTCTAAGGGAAAGTGACACATCTAACTCAAGTAGAGGCTACATCTTCTGAGTCCTAGGAAAACAAGGGAGTACATAATCTACTCTGGTACCATGTTGCAACATATCCATGTTGACTACAAGTGCATGGCAATTCAGTAACATCAAATGTCGTATCCACCAGAAATGGGGACACACTCGGAGAAGGATGAGGCTCATTGTTGTTGTGTACTCCCTAGCAGTACCGAATTGTTGAACTTTCTAATAATTTAATATTGGCATATAATTGACGTTGCCAAAGCTCAAAGCTCAAAACTCAAGAACAGAACTAAGTTGTGCACTTATGGGACATTCATAACTTGAATGGACTGCAGCATATCAGAAACAGCGATGATGAGGTCACCTGACTTGATCATGCCCCGAGCTTTTAGTAGGGAGAAAGTTTTGTTTAGGTTGCTTTCCATATCATCAGAGTAATTCAAGCGGAAAGGCATTAGACCCCATTGCAGGTTCAGGCGTCTACGTACAGATGTTGCTGTCGTAAATGCAAATATTGGGCAATCAGGGCGACAGCGTGACAAGAGAGATGCCATGTGCCCATTCTTGGTGTAAACAAAAAGAGCATCAACTTCCAAATTGTTAGCTGCAGAAGATCACAATGGAGATAATCACTACACCAAATAGTAAGAGATTAGAAATCAAAATACCATGATTCAAATTAGGGTATGTTTTTAACAAGTACCCTTGTGAGTTATAAGCTGAGCATAAAGGACTTGTGACTTGTCCCACAGAACCGAAATGTAAGACTTCTAGAAAAAATTAGCTCTCCATATTAAAAGAAAAAAAAATTATTTTGAGAAGCGCTTTCACTGTCAAATAACATTTGCTTCTCCTTGCTGGGAAATACGGCTTGGCTAAGTTAATTTTTCCTCCTCCTCTTCCTCATTCAGCATCTCTCTAAAAAGTTCTTTCATGAAGATGAACATTCAAAAGCAAATTCCATTTTGTAACCAAATAGTATAAAGACCTTGTTCATTATTTAAGAACATCAATTATTTAGATGATCAGTAATCATATTGCTATTACTAAGGCTCAGTTTATTTCTTAGAAAAAGCATAAGACCCTTTGGGTTTATGTTAAGTCTCTCTTATTTCTTAGAAAAAGCATAAGACCAAGTTCTCTAGCCTCCTGTCTTGATATTGACATATCAATGTCAGGCACTCTATGGATGACATGCACATATGGTACATGCCCCCCTCAAAGTAGATTGAAGAACATGCTTAAACTGTGTAAGACTCCTATATTACTTGGGAAGAAGCTATATCCTTACTGCATTTGACCAATATCAAAAGACAAACAGTCAACATGACTTCTATAAACTAAATTAAGGTACAACAAATGTTTAGATAGACATCCTCTTGGAAGAATTTATATCCTTGTTATATTTGACATTTTAACAGGCAACAAAAGGCGCACACAGCCAAATGACTTGATCATAAGGTGTATAAAGAGTCTTTACCTAGAAGATCCAAGGTATACTCTCCCTCCCACCTCCCACCCCCAGTTCCAATTGTCCACACTCATTTATCACTTATGTTCTCATCATAGAAGCAAATAGATAACTGCATATAGCAAAGATGCATAGCATGTGTGTGATAGCTAATAGAGCTACTCTCTATGAGACGATAGAAATAATGTGCGAGTCTTTTTTCCTTCTGAACATTTTAAGGCATCTAGATCTGAACCATTTGTAGAATTTACATGAATAAACTGACTAGTTATGATATCCCAAAAATTAGCAGTCTAATGGTTACTTGAATAACTCAAGAAACTGTTCTTGCACATTTTCCATCTGCAGTTAAAATCTTCTGTAGTTCCTTTGTTGACTAAAAATTATCAAATGATCTACTTTCAGTTGCTTGTAGCTGAGAATTGAGCTAACTTATGGCAGATAACAAAACACCTGTTGCCGTCATCCTAAAAGAGCAACTAGAAGTTGACGCAAGAACACAACAAGGGTAGAAGCGCAGTTACATGCATACACCAAGAGTAGCATGTTATGACATATGAGTTACTATTGCAGAATATGACAATTTGCAAAAGCTTAAAAATGTGCAGAACTCATCAAAAAGGGAATGGAATTTCCAGCTTGCACTTCAATTCATTTGAAACTGTACATATAATATATGTGAAGGTCTTATAAAAGACAACATAAAAATGTTTATTCCCTTTTGAAGGCTTACTCAAAATGGCTACTTATCTTTAATGCATTATCGATATTGCATGAACATCCGTTCATCAGAAAACTACCACTATAATTTACGTGCCACATAAGAGAAGAATTGAACTAGCCATCTCAGTCTCACCCTCGCAAAGCAATTCATAGTTGATCTAAGAATATAAAACACACGCATACAGATACACCAAGATAGTGTAAACATTAAAGTCAGAAATGACGAATTCAAGAAGCTTTCTCAAAATTGGGAGAGAAACTAAAGAAAACGGGAATGGGTTTTCCAGTTTTCACTTAATCGCATTTATACATGGGTCCTTCTAATCTTTATAAAAAGCATGTATAAGTCCATGTCTGTATTAAAAGCCAAAAAAAGAAGTGTGTTTACTCTATGGTTCATGCAGCCAGAAAATTCATGTTTGAAGTCATAAGGAGGTATATCAATTCTGAAATGTATCCAAATGTTACATTTTTCAGAGAAAACTTAACATGCTGCAAGGATGAGATCCATTAGTTATACACTTCTCAGCATTCCCTACATAGATGATAGAACCATAAATAGAACTTAATTGTTGTTTTATCCAGATTTAGCAATAATCATTTGATCACAGGGATATCCTGTCTCAATAAAATGCATGATATAATAGCTGTGCATCAGAACCAATAATCCTAAGATTCATGATAGCTAATCACTTTGACATGATTACGAGGATTTTACTATTCCCACTTCTAATTGTTTTTAATGTCGTAGAAAATTGAACAGATTTAACCCAGAAAAATTCCTCATAGCACACAAATTTCAGATTATTATATCTTGCTAGTAAGCTAAAAACATGCCCAGTTTCCTTAGGTTATTTACTAACTTTAGAAAATATTGGGCAAATGCTAAAAGAGCTTTAATGCAGAATGTCAAAGTTCACGATTTTACTATTTCACCATTTAATTGTCCAGTCCACACTCCACAGACCACACAACAACAATAGAAAAAAAGTAGTTTTACATCTGCAGGCTTTGAAACAAATAAAAAGCAATGAAAATCAAATCAATTAGTATTCAAGAAGATAGAATTTTACCCATCTTGGCGGCAGAGTTGCAAATTTCTTCTGAAATACTATCAGAAAATGAAGATGCTATGGATGGCAATTCAATAACTTCGCGGCGTTTCTGTTCTCTCCACCTTCTTTCGATTCTCAAGCTAACAGTTCTTAGAACAGTCAATGCCTTCTCAGGAAATTGTCCCATGGCCGACTCACCAGAAAGCATCAAAGCATCCCCCCGTTGCCTAACTGCTTCGGAAACATCAGCAACTTCAGCTCTAGTTGGAATAGGGTATTCAATCATAGATTCCAACAACTGGGAAGCTACTATAACAGGCCTATTCAGCTGCCTGCATAGCTGAACAATCTTTTGCTGCTCTGATGGAACCTGTTCTAATGGAATTTGAGCACCAAGATCTCCTCTTGCCACCATAGCACCATCTGATGCCTGAATTATTTCTTCTAGGTTCCTCAACGAGTCAATGCTCTCTATCTTTGCAATTACAGCAATATCACTGCGCAGCACATCAAACCAGATAAATGAATAATTTGATTGCTGAGAATCAACTTCTTAAATATATTCGGAAGTAAAGGTCTGTTCTGCTAAATGCAGTTTTATTTACTAAGAAGGCTCTTACCCATCCCGGGCCCTGGCTTTAATGTAGCTCTTAAGATGCTTAATGACTTCAGCAGACTTGACAAATGATACAGCAATAAAATCTACACCCTCGGCAATCCCGAAGTCAATGTCTAGCCAATCCTGCAGCAGTGAAAAACTTGAAATAGTGACCATCTAAATATACTAAATTTCAGCAGTTAAAAAATTTAAGGGTGTGAGAACAACTGTGTGCCTGGATCCTGAAAAAATTTAGTGGAAGTCCAGGTATATCCTAATAGCTGTTGTACTAAGCTAGAATTGACTATGCATACTCTTTGTGAAACATAAATGTTGCAGGATCAACAGTTAAGTCCTTAGATCCAGGCTACAAGAGTTCTTAGTTCCCTTTAAAGTGAGAATCTGGGAATTTTAGCTGATATAAAAGGTACTGTTTGATAATGGTGGTGACTGGGCCACAACTTCGCATCTCACAACTATATCACTGGGTACCTGCTACCTCCACCTATACAGGTATACCAAGTAACTTTTGCCAACCAAAGCTTATCATTTCGTATTCTTTTTGCGACTTTGTCCTTCTTGTGACAGTTTGTCACCTATATTGTCAAGCCTCTTTTATTTGATCTTTTGCAATCTTGAATTAAGATTTGTTGATCGACATAATTATGCAATTTGTTCATATTAAGTGTGAATTAGAAATTTGTTTTTAATATGGTTCTTAATTCTGTTGATATTGGGTTTCGACCCTACTTGATTTAGGCTTCGATCCATCTTGATATTTGATGATTCTCAAAAAACACATGTGGGGGGCAAATTTGTTATTTGACAAACTTCCTTGAAATAATTTTATGAGCTCTCTTGACACTTGAGCCTTTCTATATTGATATTGATATTTGGAAATACTTCAAGATTTGGTATTTAGTTCTTTTTATGTATTATTTGTTTACTTGATTATGTTTATGCTCCATTTGAGCTACCTATAACTTAAAAGGGAATTGGAGAATGTAATGGCTTCAAGTCTAAAGTTCATGCGCCACTAAGTTTTATGCAAGAGATTTGAAGATGGCCATTTGAAGTAGACTTTTTGGAATCTTTTATGAACAGCATATCTGCATAGGAATCTATGTTTTGTACGGATTTGGGACTTGTACATGATCCGTTATATCACACTTGTATGTAATTTTGGAGGTTTGATGGATCATATAGCGATCAATTGTAACTTGAATTTGGTGATTTGTTTGGCTATTTCAGAGTGTGCAAATCCAAGTCTTCGTAATGTACTAAACTTACATTTTGATTTGTAATATATTTCTCACATGTATAAAGAAGAAAACTAATTTATCTTTTAATACTCACAAGTTTGAAATTCATGCGTAGTATTAACCTGGAGTGGTGTTTGTACTTGCTTGAATGGTAATATTATTGGTCCGAGTTATTGACCTTACTAATTTTGACAACATTAAGGGGCAATATAACTGAACAATATAAAAGGTGCAACAATAAGGCAAAAGGTTCATACCAGAACAGCTTCAACCAAAATATAGATCTCAATTTTGATTACGTAAACCAAACTCATAAATTATTTTCAAAGAAGCTGGAAAGGAATATAGGTGCAAACCTTTGAGGAAATTGTTGGCAGCATAGCATTGCGTTCCCTTACTAATTTACCATCCCGCCAAAATGTCAGATTAGCCCGAGGTAAAAGAAGTCCAGGATCCGTGCAAAGACACTTAACATCAGGGCCAATTTTCTCAATCACTTCAAATCTCACCATTCCACCATCTACTAGAAGATCATCACCCACTTTTACATCTGCAGTGAAACAGTTAAGCCAACAAATTAATCAAAATTAACATATTTATCAAAGCGCAAGGAATGACACCGAAAGCATATTTCTTTGCAAAAATGGTCTTTTTTATTTTCTATAGCAGGCTATAGGGCAAACCTTCAGCAAAACCATCATAGTTAACAGTGATGGTGCGTTCTGGAAGCGGTGGATCAAATGCACGAACAGTGAAATTCCAAATTTCACCATCCTGTATAAAGAGAATAGTTAGATGTTATATCTTTATTCAGCATAACAGATAATGATATATATCCAGTGTTTTCCATAGACCCCCCACCCCCCAAGCAAAATTTCATAGATTATTGTTGGTGTTCAATATTTCTTTCTGATTCTACTATGCAGAAAATATCAAGCAGATTTAAATGCCAAGAACACAGTACTGCAGTAAAAACAGACAAGAAAAACAGTTTTTAGTTCAAATCTGTAGCAAGATCCAACATTTTTTCCAATCAACCACACTTCAGACTTCTGACAAATGCTCAGCCTGATTCTCGCTTACCTCTCTTCTCTATCCAAAGTAAATATTCTCGAATGCCACTAAGATTGACGTGGTTAACTTAACCTCAGCTAGAATTCAGCAACAGCCACAAGCAAACACAGAAAGGAAGGAACAAAAGAAAACTTCAAACAGAGATCATCATTGCGCAATATCTTCCTACAGAAAATGAGCACTATTTCCCCACCCAACACCCCCACTCCATCCCATCCCAGCCAAAATAAGTATCCTGATTTTAGCTTTATCCTCCCACATTAAAAGTTTTTAATTATGATCTTATACTTGACAGAACTCCAAATCTGAATTCATGTATGCTGACACCATAAAGAGACTAACAGTTATTTGTGTCACTATCTATCAGGCTATATCTACATCCCATCAAGTAATTGTAATATTTGTAAAGTTACTTTTAGTTTTGCTGATTTAGGCCAAAAACACTTATAGAGGAATCACTTCAGAGAAAACTGCTTTCCAGATTCAAATGTAGGTGATATTTTAGATGGAAGTTTCCCACTTTCAACTTAAAGCACAAACTTTCGCTGATGAAATTAATTTTATCAAAAAGACAATATACTTGCTTTCTCAAATTCTTGTACAAACACTTGAGCTCGAAAAGTATTTACTGTATAGAAGACGAAAAGTAAAAATACTTCAAAGCTATTGAAATGGTATTTCTTTTTATAAAGTAGTAGATAACTTCGGAGAAACTGCAGAACACCCAATAGGGACCTTAGTCAGTTAAGCAAATACACATAAATGAAAAGGTTGCACCTTCCAAAAGCATCCCAGTTCTACTCATACCACAACATAAACAACAACAGATTTTGTTAAATCCCATAAACAGCTACATTGGTAAACACAAATTCTCTTATGAAAATAACACGAGATTAACTCGTCCATAAAGCAGAATATGGTACTAATTTCCTGCTCACAATTTCTTAAAATGAAAAGTTGTACCAACTTCAAGCCAAATATATACCTCAGCTTGGGTGGATGAGGCGCAGCCAATCCAACTAATTCGGTATTTGGTATATTCAAAAGACAACTTCCCATTGTCAATTGGATGATAGTTTTTTTT